CCTCCCCTCGTTGCGCTTCAAGTGTTGACTTGCAACTAGGCCCCCACAAACAACCCCCTAGTTGGAAGTTGATGGCTGGCATGCAACTAGGGCCCCTAACAAATGCACACAGACACCCCCTAATTGCAAGTCGATAGTTGACATGCAATTGGGCCCCTCGCGAACATGCAAGACGTCGCCACGTCAGTTGCGAGTCAATGGTTGACTTGCAACTAGGGCCTGTACAAACACACTCCCCTCTCCTGGCTGCACGTCGATGGTAGACTTGCAACCGGGGCCCGTAAGAACACACTTGCCTCCCTAGTTGCAAGTTGATGGTTGATATGCAACTGGGGCCCCTACTAACAACCCCTAGTTGCAAGTCGATACTGACATGCAACTGGGGGCTCCAAGAAACACACAGACGCCACCCCTTGTTGATAATCAATGGCTGACATGCGACTGGGCCCCCCGACAAACACACACAGACGTTGCCTCGCCAGTTGCGAGTCGATGGTTAACTTGCAACTGGGACCGTACAAACACACTCCCCTCCCCTAGTTATAAGGCGGTGGTTGACATGCAGCTGGCCCCCTACAAACACACGACACTCTAGTGGTGGGTCGATGGTTGACTTGCAACTGGGGCCCTACAAAAAACAAACACTACCCCCAGTTGCATGTCGATGGTTGACTTGCAACTAGGGCCCTACAAAAACACCCTGTAGTTACGAGTCAATGGCTGCTGACATGGAACTGGGGCCCCTACAAAAAAATGCCACCCCCGGTTGCTGGTCGATTGTTTACTTGCAACTGGGGCACGTACAAAATGCACTTCCCTCCCCTTGTTGCACGTTGATGGTTGACTTGCGACTGGGGCCCCTGACAAAACACACACATACGCCCGCCTAGTTGCAAGTCGATGGTTGACATGTAATTGGTGCCCTTGACAAACACACACAGATGTCACCACACCAGTTGCGAGTCAACGGTTGACTTGCAATTGGGGCCTGTACAAACACACTCCCTTCCCCCAGTTGCGGGTCAAGTGTCGACTTGCAACTAGGATGTAACAAATTATGGGCCCAGTTGCGAGTCAACAATGGACCTGCAACTATGATGAAAAACAAAACATGCATCGAGTTGTGAGTCAAGTATGGGCTTGCAATTGGGATGAAACCAAATACGGGCCTAGTTGCGAATTAAGGGTACTTGCAACTACGACAACCGCAAAACCTACATTACAAGTTGCGAGTCGAGGATGGGACAACTACACAAAACTATGATATGAGTTGCGAGTCGAGTGTGAACTTGCAACTGGGACAACTACGAACCAGTTGCGAGTAAAAGATGGACTTGCAACTGAAATGAAATAAACTACGGGCCCAAATGCAATTCAAGTGTTGCACTTGTAGGTGGGAAACTACACAAAACTAAAAAATAAAAAGGAAATGAAAAAAGAAAAGGAAAATATAAACGACAAAAAAAACTAAACCGCCGCTCAACATGAGGGAAAAAGAAAGAGCAATGACACATGTTACTCTATAGAAAAACTGAACCATACCCACAACACAGAGTTAAAAAGGCCGATCCCACATAAAGTGTGAACACAACCCCAACAATGGACACATCTATGAAATAGGCCCCAACGTGCGATGACACATAGCCGGCGAACAACAGATTCAAGCCACACAATGGGTCGACAACGTGATGTGGATCAAAACATTGCCCAAAAATTTCAACAACAAAAAGATCATACATTTGAAAACCTAGATGAGACATTGCTAGATCTCATCCCAAGGAGTCATAACTCATGTGAAACAGATGCTCATATACTCACACATGCACAAATAGGGAGACAACTAGAAAAATGGCCACTAGCGCACGACACGAAAAAACGGCCCGACAACGCAAACACTAGCGCGGCACAAGGCACATGCATGTGAAGTTGTGAACGAAACATTGTTTTATGAAACTAATGTGGTTATTCGTGTGGTGAACAACTTAGGTGTGACAGCTAAAAATCATCTACTCCCTCCGTTCGTAAATATAATTCTTTTTAGAAATTCCAATATGGACAACATGTGGAGCAAAATAAATAAATCTACACTCTAAAATAATGCATATATGCATCCGTATGTAGTCCCTAAGAAAATCTCTAAAAAGACTTATATTTAGAAACAGAGGGAGTAGATGATAATTAGCAAATCCGAAAAAATGAAAATAGAAATATTTAAAATAAAAGTAAAAACAAAAAACCATGAATTTCGGAAATGGAATAATAAAAACTAAAAAAGAAATGGGAAAAGAAAAAAAATGAAAATGAAGCAAATAAATTGAAACTTGAAACCGAGGAGAAGAAAGGGGTCTAGACCAGACAAATTACGTGTCTAGAATAGACATGCAATTGGGTCAAGGTCAGATAAAAATGCATGCAATAAACAAACTAAGCAGCCTCAGTTAAAAATAGCATCAGCTGGAGCTGGAGAGTGGAGATACAACCGTGAGATGTGACATTGTTAATTTTCATCTAGATAAGAATCTAATGTAATTTTCATGATCTCTCCCATCAAAAAACACATTCACCCCCAAGTTTACAGATGTGTTGAAAACATGGAATTGCATGTCTAGTGATGTAAATGCAACTGACTAAAAAATAATCATGAACTTAAAATAAATAAATAATAAAACAAAAGGAAAATAGGAAACGAAATTAAAAGTAAAGTGAACAAAAAAAGTAAACAAAAACTTATATACAAACTGGAAAATGACAATCCAGCCAGCACAACAATCGAAAAAGGAAAAAAGATAAAGCAGCCCATACGTGGAGGGGTGAAGGCAAAGCCCACAAACAGAGAAAACACCGCCAGCCCACGCAGTCACAGAATTGAAAAAAGGAACAGTCGCTGGGGGAGTACACATGCGACGCGATCCACGGCACGCAGCGACAAAAAGGACACGAATCTTAAGGCAGGATTGTACGGTTCAGGAGTTTTTTTCGATAAAGGGCGTTTTTATTATCTTAAAATGTAGCATCAAGCGGTACAAAACATTTAGAGTACCACCCTGCCTCTGCATAACTAGAATGCACACAGCTAAACATCAAAAATCTGAAAAGAAAAAAACCCAACAATTCGGCAACAGTAGAGTCCTATAGACCGACACTATGCCTATGTCGAAACGGTTGGTTGACCGATCCGGAGATTATGCTGCCACCCATGTTGGGTAAAAACCTCCATAGCCACCTGTTGCAATCGCGTACACACCGCCTTAAATAGCGGTTGGTACTCCGCACGTTGTAGCATAGATCACATACGAAGCGAGTGCGTACAACGGAAAATAACCTGCAGAGGAGAAGCAATTTTGTCATTAAAAACCAAATCGTTTCTACATAGCCAAAGCGACTATAGTAAGGCGTACCCTCCCACCCTTATTAGTGTTTCGAATCTATTTGAAATACTGTCCAACTAATGACCAAAAATATTGGCAACACTTGTGGACGGATACAAATTTGACGCTATTTGGATGACTGACCACGTAGAACGCGCAAACTTGCATTGAAAAAAAAAGGTGTTTGATTGTCTCGTCAAAAGTACAAAAACAACACTTCTTACTTCCTGGCCAGTTGCGTCGTGCAAGGTTGTCTTTGGTTAGCACAACACCTCTACGAAGATACCACATGAATATTTTAACTTTTAGTGGAATCTTTGTCTTCCAGATTTTCTTGTTATTGCTCTCCGGTACCTTAAAATGCGTGAGCGCACGATACATAGAGTCTACCGTGAAAGACCCTGATGTAGTAAGGTTCCAGCGAAACACATCACGACCTTGCGTCAGGTTAATCAGATCCAGACGGGATAAAAGATTATGCCATGACATAAGTCGGGCGCCAACCAAATCCCGCCTGAATGAAATATTCGGCGGGGATGAGCCGAGCACCTGTGCAATAGTATTGTTCTTATCGCGAGCAATGTTGTACAAGGCTGGATATTGTTCTCGGAGACTGGCATTGCCTAGCCAGATGTCTTCCCAGAAACGAATCTCTGACCCGTCCTTTATCACGGAAGACCCAAAGCGAAAGAGTTGTTTCTTTGCCGCCATTAGGCCAGCCCAAAAGTGTGAGTCGCCAGGTTTCCAATATGCCTGAGACACCGCCTTTTGGCTTAGATACTTGTTGCACAGCATGGTTTGCCAAACACCATCCTCAGTAAGAAGTTTGAACAACCATTTACTAAGTAGGGCCTCATTCTTGACCTGTAGGTCATGAATTCCAAGGCCACCTTGGTCTTTCGGCCTACAAACCACGCTCCATTTGGTCAGCCGATATTTTTCTTTTCATCATCTCCTTGCCAAAAGAATCTAGACCTAAAATAGTCCAATCTTTGCAAGACCCCTTTTGGGAGTTGGAAAAAAGAAAGCATATAAAGAACCATATTTGTGAGGACAGAGTTTATCAAAACCAGTCGTCCTCCAACTGAGAGCACCTTGCCTTTCCAACTGCTCAACCGTTTCTTTAGCCGCTCCTCTATATGCTTCCACTCTGCAATGGTGAGACGTCGATAATAAATAGGTATTCCCAGATATCACTAAATTTCATCTAGATGTGATTTAGTAAATCCGATATAAAATACAGGGTGGATATTGGGCGGACGGCCGACCCAAAAGAATAAAAAGCGGACGAAATCACCGTCCGTTTGAATCGTTGGAGTTGCTCTAATTCCGCATCGGGGAAGATGGCCAAATGCATTGTATTGGATGGCTTGTCACATCCGTGAGTCTGCTTCGCATTGAAAAATCGCCAAAGCAAGAAGGAAAAGTGCTGCTTGCCATTCCAAAGTTGAAGCAAACCGCCGTGTTGATGTTGCTCGATCGCAACGCCACGCAACGTGCCGCGTGCCAAAACGAGACGAGTCCGACTGCGGTTTGATCACTGTCATAACGCCTCGTGCTCTCTCCACCGCTCGCGAGCTCCTACCTACGTGTTGCTCCTCCCTGCGCCGCGTCCGGCCGTGCGCACCCGGGATGCCGCCGGCCGAGAGTTTCGCCGTCGAGGTCCTCTCGCGGTCGCTCGTCCAGGCCTCCGACCCGCCGCGGGGATTCCCGGCGGTGCTCCCGGTCTCCAACCTGGACCTCGTCCTCGGCTCCTTCCACGTCTTCTTCATCGCCGTCTACCCGGCGCCCGCCGCGGGCTTCCCGGCCGTGGCCGCGGCCGCGCGCGCCGCGCTCCCGGCCTTCCTCTCCCGCTTCTACCCCTTCGCCGGCCGCGTCGTGCCCAGCGCCTCCACCGGCGTGCCGGACGTCGTCTGCGGCAACGAAGGGGCCGAGCTCGTGGTCGCGTACGCCGACGCGGCGCTCGCGGACGTGGACTTCGCCGACGCCGGCGCCTCGCTGGGGCGCATCCAGCTGCCGTTCGAGCGGGGGCTCGCGCTGTCGCTGCAGCTCGTCCGGTTCGCGTGCGGTGGGTTCTCGCTCGCCTGGGGCACCGACCACCTGCTCGTCGACGGCCACGGGCTCACCACGCTGCCCAACGCCTGGGCCGAGATGCTCGTCGCGGGCGGCCTCTCGTGGGAGCCCCACCACGACCGCGCCTCCCTCTTCCGGCCCCGCTCGCCGCCGCGGTACGGCCCGTCGCTGGACGCCGAGTTCGTGCGCTACGACCCGGCCAGCCTCCCCAACGCCCTCCTAGCCGCCGCCCTCGTGCGCCGCAACTACGTCGTGGATGCCGCAGACGTCGACCGCCTCCGCGCGGCGGCAAGCGGCCCCGTCCGCCGCGCCACGCGGCTTGAGGCCCTCTCCGCGCACGTATGGAAGCTGCTCGCCGCGGCCGTGGGCGGCTCCGACACGCACTGCCGCATGGCGTGGCTCGTCGACGGCCGCCGGGGCCTCGACCCCGCCAAATACAACAAGACCCACGTCAACAACTACCTTGGCAACGTCGTCACCTACGCGTCCCGGGAGGCGGTCGTGGAGACGGTGCGCTCCTCCCCGCTCGCCGACGTGGCGACGATGGCCGCCGCGGCCATCGCGGAGGTGTTCCGGCAGGAGCGGTACGAGGAGCTGGTGGACTGGATGGAAGCGCACAAGGGGGTGTTCGCGGAGGGCGGCAAGTGGACGGAGGCGGTGGGGCTGGGCACGGGCAGCCCGGCGCTGGTGGTGTCGGCGTTCGTGCCGTTCAGGGTGGAGGGCGACTTTGGGTTCGGCCCGCCGCGGCTGGTGATGCCGTGGGTGCGGCCGGGGAGGCTCGGGTCGGCGGCCATGACAGTGATCCGGAGCCCCGCGGGAGACGGGTCGTGGCTGGTCACCGCCAGGATGTGGCCGCGGCTCGCCGACGCCGTGGACGCCGACCCGGAGGCCGTGTTCAAACCGGCCACCGCCGAGCGGCTCAGTTTCGTCACGCGCCGCCGCGGCGAGCTGGCGGCCACCGAGACGGCGCAGCACGCCGTGAGCCGCATGTGAGCTGCGTGGACGACTGTAGTTAAAATAGATGTACTGCTGCCTACAAATATCGTCAGAGCCTCTCTCTCTCTCTCACTCGGTACTAGAGTATCTATTTTTAACCTTTTCATTTTTAAATAAAATATTGGAACTCTCTATTTGTCAGATGCGTGAAAACGTTTTCACTTTCCTCATGGACCGTCTGATCTTGATCAAACGGCCCAAAACAGATCGCACTATTCATCTTCAACCTACACCTCTCTTCTTCCTCACGCCTCCAACTTACCCACCCCAACCGCCGGCCTCTATCATCCGCGGCCGGCGGGCGCTACCGTGCACCTACGTGTGTTTTTTGTGTTGGGGATGAATGCATCCAATATGTGTCTTTTGAATGTTGACGATTTTTTGGGTATTACTGTTCCACATTCCTTGGTATTACTGTTCCACATTCCTTGGATGACCTATCAAAACATTGGAAACGTGTAAACGAAATGTTGTTTTGAACAATGTTGTTTCAAATGATATCACTTCGTGGAGGTTATGGACCATGCGAAATGATTTTGTATATTGAGGGTGGCCAAGAGGCCAGAAACAAGGTGGCGACAACAAGGGCGAAGAGGCTGAAGAGGTCGAACTCGACGGGATGGGAGGAATGGCCTGTTGGCACCTACAGACAGGGAAGGACAAAGTGAGGCGCCGTGGGTGTCCGCAACGTGTCCGCACGGATGCAAATTTAATCTAAAATTGGTCTGAATGGGCCAAAGCGGACATCCGTTCGTCTGCATCGCCGCTTTACACCGTGATTTTCGTCCGTGCAAAAAAATACATATGCACACAGGAAAAAAATACAGACGCTGAAGTTGGATACTCTGGGCGATGGCATAAATAGGCACACATAAGCTTGGAGAAGACAACAATAAACGCACACACGTGCGAGGACTCAAGTTTGACAACAATAAACACAGTAACGTGGTGACATAAATTTGCCTGTCATACAACTACCCGATCAAGACCTGCATCCTCCCGTGGCTGCACTGCATGTGGTAGGCTAGAGTACAGTACCACAATAGTACTAGGAAACATGCCGGTGCATTACAACGGAAGGGAAAAAAATATCATGACTCTATCCTAATAAGCATGGCTCAGGACTCCTAATATCCTCCTCTAATTCGACATGACACTGACCGTGTCATCGCTTATCCTTTTTCTGACCCTGCAAACGGCCATCATGATGCCCACCTGATGACAATGCTTCATATATGGTCAATCCTAAGGCGATGGGTTCGCCACCGCATGTCGCACCAATCATTGTGCCCACGCAAAGAAATGTTCAAAACGTCAATAACTTATCTCGGCAAGCTACTCCTTGCAGCTGGTCCGTACACCTCACCTTATACTTCTACTCTATTTTGTATGATCAAACAATTATTATTATGAATCAGTGTTGGCCCGGTCAAGGAGGTGGCCGCGACACATCACCTGAGATGAAAGGCACGTCAATTGCGAAATGAGAGGGAAGTATGTAGAGGCCGGATATCACACGGTGAGTTGCACGGCAACATGTGACGCGGGTGTTCCTACTTCCCTTTGTAGGAGAGGATGTGTAGTGCCACATTGACATTGGCATAGTGAGCGGCAACCATGGTTTGTGTATGTATAATTCATAACAGTGTATATACGTGCATCGTGTATGTATAATGTTGCTTCTATCGGCTAGTAACGTATATCAAGGGTAGCATCAAAACGCCGAGGCTTCGCTCAAGGCACTCCTAGTTGGGCCGGCCCACGTAGGTCTTGTTGTTTTTCTTTTACTTTTTGTTTCCTTTTACATTTTCTTTTCTTCTTTTTTTCTTCAAATAGTTGTTCTAAAATTTAAAATATTGTTCGGAATGCCAAAGAATGTCCTCCTTTCAAAAGATGTTAATAATTTCCTAAATTGTTTGCATTTTATAAAATATTTCTATTTTTGGAAAATTGTTCATGTTTTTAAAATTTTCTTTACAATTCAAAATTTATTCAGTGTATATCACAAAATGTTCAATGTAACTTTACATATTGTTCAACGTATATATGTTCAATGTGTATCTAAAAATTGTTCACTGTATATTACGAAAATGTTCAACTTACATTTCAAATTTGTTCAATAAGTATTTAAATATTGTTCCACATATATCACAAAAATGTTCAGTGTTTATTTAAAAATTGTGCAGAGTATATAAAAAATTCAATGTATATTTGAAATTGTTCATCATATATAAAAATTTCAATAATTATTTGTAATTTCAAATTTTATTCATATTTTCAATAATTGGTCACGTTTTCCAGAAAATGTTTAGGTTTTAAAAGTTACTCAAATTTCTAACATTATTTAAATATTTGAAGGAAAATCGTTCACATTTTTTCCCAAGAATTGTTGAAAAAATAAACAGATCTGTGGTTGTACATACTACTTCAAATTTTACGCTGGTATTTTACCATACTCAGTCGCTAGATCTTCTCGCGCGCTTTTGTTTTTCGTTTGTTGCCAGGGCATGGACCAGGGTGAGAAGGCGTGTTAGATTATCCCCTTGCCATCCTTATTTTTTTCGCACCCAAAGAGCCAGTAAGCCCACACGCGTCGCTTGGCCCATAACTACATTGGGCCACAGAACGCGCTTAGAATCGTACGTGAGAGAAGAGGAGCGACCTACAAAGAGATAGAGTCCAAGTCAGCGTTCGCCGCGAGCCAGCGACGGACGAAAAAAGTTACTGTGGACGAAAAAAGTTACTGTGGACGAAAAAAGTGGAAAACAATCCATACTTTAATATTAGGGATAGAATAGATATCCTTATCTTTATCTTTATCTAATACTAGCAAATATGCCCGTGCGTTGCAACGGGAGACAAAAAATTATGGCTAACCAAATAAGTATGACTCAATATACTGACACATGAGCGTACTTTATTTTAACACAGTGGATCACCATGTTCATATTTTTTTTCTCACACTAGCCGATGATCTCGATGTCCACGTGATCATAATGCATTCGATGCAGTAAATCACAAGGCTATAAGTTTGCCAGTGCATGTCACATTTGTCATTATGTTGCGCAAGGAAACATTTAAAACTTTTAAAACAAATCTCATTGACTATGAACTACTCCCAACGCCAAGACATATAAAGACTTTCAGAAAACTAATCGAATCCTAAACATAAAATACATTTGAATCAGTGAACAGTTTTTCGAATCGACAAACATGTTTTTTTAAAACTTTTTATTTTCTCAAAAAAATAATGAGATTTAGTTTTGTTTACAAACTTTTTTAAATGTATGAAACGGTTTCAAATTCATTAACATTTTTGACTCAACAAACATTTTTTGAATCGATGATTTTTTTTTAAATTGGGGAACAAATTTTAAAAATAATTTTTTTGTGAACATTTTCTAAAATGTCATGGACATTTTTTTTTCAGATTTTCGAATATGTTTTGACTACACGATCATTTTTTTCAAAATCATGAACATGATTTTATTTCCCGACCATTTTTCCAAATTGTGATTCTTTTATAATATTGCAAACAATTTTGCAAAACCACCAACATTTTTTTAATCTGCAATTTTTTATGGTTTTCTAAACATTTTTGAATTCACATATATTATATGATTTCTCAAACATTTTGTTTGAAAACTCGTAACTTTAGAATATTAGATCCCGAATTAATTTAAAGAAGAAAGAAAACAGAAAAGACAAAAAAGTAAAATGAGAAGAAACAGGGGAGTAAAGCCCCGCATATGGGCCGGCCCATGAATGCATAGATGGGTTATGCGTGAGAAAAGAACGATAAAATTGTAGAAGCTGGGGATTGAACCCCTGTCTTGTCGCTAGAGGAGCAATCGGACAACCACCCTGCTACTCATCACTCATTGACTTCTACTCGTCTCGCACCTATAAAACAGCGTAGGAGGCGGCGATTTTTGGTCGAAAAAACAAATCGTTTTTCACTTACGGGTGGCATTGGTGGGTAATTTTTATCAACTTGAAGGATAATTTTAATGAAGGACGACCAGAAGCGATGGCCGCTTTATTAGTAGGTAAAGATTAAAGGGAAGATTGTTTCTCCATTTTTTTGATTTATGATGGGTCCTAAATAATTTCACAGGACACACAGGGCCATAATGGACCGGCCCATTAGCGTACCAACAACCCGCAACAGTTAAAAAATTTTCAACAAAAATACTGTGTTGCGAGGAATCGAACCATGTTGCTGAGGCAGGAGCGCTCAGAATGCTAGCCACTAGACTAAACAACTGTTGGTGTTCAATTAGCAGCGCAGATGTTAAATTAAGCTTACAGTCCTGCGAAATACTGAGAGGAAAATATTTGTTTTTTAAGTGAATATATGACGTGGATAGGCAGCGCGCAGGCGCTAGATGGAGTGCCCGAGCATACCCTCTATATTAGAAAACCTGTGTGCCACGTCATCATATTCTGTCAAAAAAGAAAGTACATGAGCCTTCAACCTCACGTTGCCTGAGTAAGAGCCCACGTGCATTAATTTTTGGGTTTCAATTTTTTTTAAAAGCTATAACTTTTGATTCAAGCATTCAATGAAGATCCGTTTTCACCGCTGGGTTTCTCTTGACGAGCTCTTCAAAACTAGATCTCATATGAGTAGGTTTCGACAAAGTTTATTTTAGAGCAACTTTGGATACTATAGAGGCAACTTTAGTGCTGTAGGAGAGAAACTCCTTTTTATTGCCTAATATGACTACCTATGAGTCGGGAGTCCTTCTAAATTAGTTACCATGACCAACAATGATTAGTTTCACCTCTAAGTAGCACTATAGGGAAGTAGCTCCTTCTTTTTTGCCTAGTAGGACTACCAATTAGGTTGGTAAAAAGGAAAAATCACATGAAACATGAGGTAGTGCTACATGCAAGCAACTTCACTGCACTACGTGCACCTGTTAATTTACTAACATTATCCCAAAATACCTATCGTAGCTGCTCAGTTGTCTGTAAATACTATGGAATTTCCT